GGGGGGGGGGGGGGGGGTTCTGCTTTTGTTATTATGTCTCATCCTCTATGAAGTGTTTGTCCTGATCTGTCGGCATCGGCTGATGGGAATGAAGACGTTTCGGTGACCTCTCATTGCGGTCAGATGAGACATTTCAATGTGGGTGGAAGCAGAAATAAAAGACGCGTCATGCAATCACATCAGACCAGCATCGTTCAAACAACGTCCTGTAAGCCCGGGGCGTCAAGGACCCGCCCCCCTGACTCAAGTTTGACTGACAGCCAGCATCATTCAAACTACTTTGTGTATGCCCAGGGAGTGAAGGACCCGCCCCCTGACTCAAGGTTGACTGACAGCCAGCATTGTTCAAACTACTTCCTGTAAGCACAGGGTCTCAAGGACCCGCCCCCCTGACTCAAGGTTGACTGACAGCCAGCATTGTTCAAACTACTTCCTGTAAGCACAGGGTCTCAAGGACCCGCCCCCCTGACTCAAGGTTGACTGACAGCCAGCATTGTTCAAACTACTTCCTGTAAGCACAGGGTCTCAAGGACCCGCCCCCCTGACTCAAGGTTGACTGACAGCCAGCATCGTTCAAACTACTTCCTGTAAGCCCAGGGCGTCAAGGACCCGCCCCTGACTCAAGGTTGACTGACAGCCAGCATCGTTCATACTACTTCCTTTAAGCCCAGGGCGTCAAGGACCCGCCCCCTGGGCAACCACTACACACTCACAGGCTAGTTCACCTGGAGGAAGAGACCATGTAACCACTGGATGGAGAAAAGGTTTCCACACAATAGTTTTTTTTAAATTTATTCTCATTACATAGAAGCTTTACAGCTAAGCTCAGCTCCTGGTTGGGCACCCCAATTTTTTTGCCCCCACCAAACCGAACCCCCTCTACCTGCACAAAGGAACCCCAGTTTATAAAAACAAAAAACACTGAGTGCCTATGTTACAGCTATGGCGGCTCAGGCCTCATCAATGCGTTCTGTGAAACAGAGATGCTGGGGGTGCCCAAGTCTCCCAATGCGGCAAGCTTTCCTGCTCCGCAATGCGCTTCACTAGGCTGCTGTCACCCCAAATCTGTGAAGGTGACCGGAGTCAGAGAGACGCTGAGCTGTGTGTTATAACTGGTTCTACACCTAGGGGACCAGACTCTTGTTTCATACCATAGCTGTGTCCCTGCCCCTCGGCGTACCCAATGAGTCGGTTCCGACTGGCTGAACTCAACAGACTCTCCGTATGGGTAATTAGTCTTATCTCAGCAGACCTTCAGCACTGCATGCTGGTCGTAGTCACTGATGTACAGACAGCTGAGAGAAGGAGGAATATCTACAAAACTGGATGGAAATATGGAACAGCAAGTTAAAAAAAATGTTGCCATGTGACCATGTTTTATGTTACCCTCTGAAAGTCACATGAGGCCTGGCCAGGAATCACAAGGTGCCATGGGTCATATTTACAAAGCTGGGGATCTGACATTCAATATTCCAGGTGAATCTCCCGGGTGCACGTTTCAAATGACAGCGATTGATTCACCGCCAGCGAATGGTTGATGAAAGTCACATTCACTGCTTTATTCATATGCCTTTATGTGTTGTGTGCAGTGACAGCGCAGCAGAGACTGTTTCCTGTCACACTGTCAACCCAGGGGTGGCCCTCCAGCTGTTGTGGAACTACAAGTCCCATGAGGCATTGCAAGACTGACAGCCACAGGCATGACTCTCAGCAGCAGATGCATCATGGGATTTGTAGTTTCACCACAGCTGGAGTGCCAAGGTTCCCCACCCCTGCTGTAGATACACGTTTGTGATGGCTGTAGGCAACCTGGACACTCCAGATGTGGTGAAACTACAAATCCCATGATGCATCTGCCTTTGGAAGTCATGCCTGTGGCTATCAGAGTCTTGCAATTCCTTAATGGAACTTGTAGTTCCACCATAGCTGCAGTGCCCAGGTTGCCTACAGCCATCACAAACGTGTGTCTGCAAGCAGGGGTGGGCAACCTCGGCACTCCAGCTGTGGTGGAACTACAGGTCCAATGAAGCATAGCAAGACTCTGACAACCACAGGCATGACTTCCAAAGGCAGATGCATCAAGGGATTTGTAGTTTCACCACATCTGGAGTGTCCACGTTTCCTACAGCCATCACAAACGTGTGTCTACAGCAGGGGTGGGCAACCTCGGCACCCCAGCTGTGTTGGAACTACAAGTCCCATGAGGCATTGCAAGACTCTGACAGCCACAGGCATGACTTCCAAAGGCGGAGGCATGTTAAAGCACAGCTGGAGGGCTAGAGTTGCCCACCACTGTGTATGAAGCCATTCAGAGCGAGGGGAGGGGCCCTCTGGCTCTGTATGGCTTCATACTGGCCATTCAGCTCTGGGCTCCTCTGGCCATTCAGCTCTGGGTGTAATCTGAGCTCCAGGTTAGTTAGTTATCTTTCAACAATGCAGTTAGGATTAGCCCAGTTAATATTTGAATGAGAGCCTGAAGCGCCATCTGCTGGCTAGACCTTGTCATGACCTCATTAGTCCTGAGCATATTAATTAGGGACTGGCATACAATGGGACATAAAAATGTGACGGTAGTAACGGTAGTAACGGTACTCACTCTGCCAGAATTCTGAGCAGCAGCCGGACCTGCATTGCGATTCCTCTGCTTCTTTAATGACTCTGCACGGCACACCTGTATGTAAAGTCCATGGTGGGTTAGAGGTCTCTCCTGCGGCGGCGTCCTGCTGCAGAGTTCCCGCTTGTGAAGCGTCTATCGGTCTTCCGTATGTGATACTTTATTCATCCGCAGCGACAGTTCAATATTCAGGAAAGAGATCCGCTAACGTTCTCCGGTCCCAGCGGCGGTGGAGTCCTCCCGGACGCGGTCTGCAGTCCCCCCTCCTCCCCCAATAGAGGTCACTGGCTGATTGCAGATGTGAGGGACTCCGCTGCATCCGAGAACGCCGTCACCTTTCCCTCCTCTCACCATCCGCTTCTGTATTCCCCCCGGCGTCCCCGTGACACATCATTCTGCCTCTTCCTACGTGAGCTCCGGGAACTGAGACGCTGCGGAGAAGTCAGAGAACGAATGGAT